GCCGAAAAAACCGATGCCGGTAGCGACAAAAACTGCGGGGAACTCTGCAAAAAAACGCATCTTCGCGCGGGCAGCCCGTGCGTTGGCCAATTTTTTTACCCACTCAAGTTTTTACGGGGTTGTACGTGTTACCTGCGGGTATGGGGAGGCTGAATTTAAATTTGCAAGGTAGCACATGGGTGAGGAACGTCCCCCTAAATTTTCAGCTTCCTAGCTTGTTCCTGAGTTGAAAGTTGCAGACAAGTCACTGCGGACACACACACACACACATACACACACAAATACGCACACACAAACACACATACAGACAACTCCGTGACAATATGCGTTTTGTACTGCTGTTACACAGCACAAAACGCATAACGACGAAATTTTTCATTTGCTTGCGGGAAATTATCCCATTTTTTCCAGGGAAAAAATGGTCTTTGTTCGATTTCCTTTTCAACGATCTTTGCCTTCCCATTTATCACAAATAAATCCCTATTCAATTTCTGAATTTGAAAATCGAAAAGTAAAGCCCTTTTCAACGCCAGAGAAGCAATCAAACATACTTTCATGCATTTTCATGATATTGTAGGCCATTGCAGTGAGTATTACATCACCTTCCAGCAAAAAAACATCCCATAATCGCAATGCCAATGGAAATGGCACCCGGTCCAAAAAGCATCCGAACCACCATTTTGTCAAATAAATTGGAGGAATACTTGTTTTATCCTAAAAAAGCAAAATGTGAGAAAAGAGCAACGAAGTCGTTATAACACAGGAATGATTATCGAGTAGACAATTGTGGTTTCGGAAAATTCCACAGAAAAAAAAAACTATTTTTCCATCAAACTCTGTAGGCAACACTTTTATAAGTCTTTTTTGCAGTGAAGCAAGATCCTTTGTGGAGAAAATCCATAAAATTTAGAAAAAAGACTGGAAAAGTTGCTCAGTGCACTGCATAACAAGGGAATCAGGCAAAGAATTACGGATGATCCAAGTATTAAAAGTGCGTAAGTATTTAATGTTTGTTCAACTTTTGATAAAAACCCAGTTTGAATCTAATTTGAAACTCCCGAACTTTTCATTTATGCATCAGCAGTGAACAGAGTAAAAGTACTCCCATACGTTTATTTACAAAGCATGAGCCAGCGAGCTGGTTCACGATGCATGAAATTCGATTAGTTGCAGTTTCGTCGCTATGCGCCTTCGCTAGTACCTTGTATAATTACTGTGACTGAAGCTGCATCACCGAATGGTCAGTCTGTTAGAGGTCCTGGCATTCGTATTTTCGTTTCAGTTACCTGAGGAAAATGCTGATGTGTACCAAGTGCCAATCTTTCGACCCCACAATCTGTTTCGTTCATCAGTCCACCTACCAGCGGGCTTACTATGTCATTTTCTTAATGCTATAACCTACAGGAAGAGATCAATCAGAAACTAGCCGTACAGGCTTTATTTACAGAAGACTAACATGGAGCAGTTGGATGTAGAGAATTAAACAGAAGTAACAAAAAGGCCTGAAAAATAATCAAAAAATTTATTTGAAAAAAGGACCTACCAAATGTTTTTTCAGGCGAGGAAGATATTTCTGTAGTATTTTTTCATAATGTGCTTGAAAACGTACTAATTTTGGAAAGCCCGGAATAAAAAAGCCTGAAAATTTGCATAAAATAACATTGCATAAATTTGCACAACGATTCCAGTACTAAAACGCACAACGCATATGTCAAATAAAAAGCCAAAGACGAGCAGATATTTGCGCAAGAAAGCTTTAAATAATATGACATAGCGACTTGTGGTATCTGCGACTCGGAAATAAACACTTAATTGGCTTCAAAATGTCATCATTTTGAACTTATTCCTTCGCAAATCCAATAATTAGAAGACAATATTAAGCCCTGCCTATAGATAAAGAAGCTCAAGTTGTACTCAAACAGTTTTATGGAAAACAGTGCTGCAGTGGAAAAGGAAGGGACTGCCTTTCCACAGGAAGAAGCTTTTGGTAGTAAATAAAGAGTTGTCTACACTTTCAGGATCCTCATTTCCACATCTGGACGTATATCAAAAAATTTACCGGGGTAAGGCAGTGCTTCAGAGGCTTTTCTATTGGAGGAAAAGCTCCCTAAAATGTTTCTATTCAAAAAACGCCTGGGGAAGTTTTTGAGTGCAGAAAGAACTAAACAAACGGTGAAGGTCCTAACTACCCTAGCTAATTCACTAATGACACTGGCATCGAAGCCGAACATATCTCAGCTGCCTAGAAGCAAGAAAGTTCACGTACCATGCATGGAATGCTTTTTGTCAACAAGTAGTGCGTGCATACACCAAAATGCTTCTTCCTCATCCATATACATCAAAAAAAGCGCAGCAATTTGACTCATCCCCTGGCAGTAACTCACTTCCGTATTGTATACTGCGTAAGCCACCAGTACGTTAAATAGCGATTGCTGTCTGAATAAAACGAAGGTGTCTTTAACAACTAAATTCGTCAATCTTTTAAAAAAAAAGCCACTTCAATGAGGAAACACTTCACATTTTTCACAGCTGCTATTTCAGTGCTGCGTT